GAAGAAAAAAAGGAAAGAAGGAAGGAGAGAAAAGAACACAATTTAACAATCCAGGAAATCGTAGGCTAAATTATGGGACACGGTCTTAACAAACAGTTGTACTTAAAAATGAGAGGAATAAAACATGAAAAATGCTAATGATAAAATAAAAGACATTTAAAACTGTATGTCAATTTGTTCCTACCTAGAGCGACATATGCACAAAACGAACTATATGACAATGCTGTGTTTTGCTCTGTTTGTATATACAGCATTTGTGAGAGACGGTTCTCTACTCTGGTCCAAACCTAGGTCACAATTTGACCTGAGTCTGGCTTATGATCCCCCAGCCAGCCTCAGCTTCTGCTTGTCAGGCTACTGTTCCACTCATTCCCTAGGACCCTACTCTACCCCTGGCCTATGCAGGACACTGTGGACATCCTCTGGGCAAAGGTCCTCAGTGCCCAACACCACACCTCGCTACTGCCCCACTGGACGCAGTGAAAGTCAGGCTGGTTTCCTTACCCTCCTATATCACTGCCACATTACTTCCGCCACCAGCTCTTCCATCTTCCCTTGGTGGGAATTGCCCCTCCCCTCTACTTTCCCAAATTCTAACCTTGCTCTGTCCAGTGTGCAGCCACTAGTGACATATGACTAATGAGCACCTGAAACACAGCTAGTGTGAACCGATATGTGCTGTAAATATACAATATACAATGAATTCCAAAAACTTCGTATGAAAAAAAGATGTAAAAAATACTGATAGCATTTTATATTGATTACCTGCAGATATAATACATGTTAGAAACATGGACTTAAATAAAAGGCACCATTAAAATTAATTTCATCTGATTCTTTTTACTTTTTAACATGTGGTCACTAAAAAAGATTAAAATTGCACATATGGCTCACATTATATTTCTATTGGACAGAACTAGTCTAACCATTCTTTGGAGCCCAGCATGAGTAAAACGTTGATATGATTTGGCTGTGTCCTCATCCAAATCTCACCTGGAATTGTAATAATCCCATATGTCGAGGGCTGGGCCGGCTGGAGATAACTCAGTCATGAGGGTGGCTTTCCCCATGCTGTTCTCAGGGTAGTGAATAAATCTCACAAGATCTGATGGTTTTATAAACGGGAGCTCCCCTGCACAAGCTCTCTTGCCTGCCACCAAGGAAGACATGACTTTGCTTCTCATTCACCTTCTGCCATGATTGTGAGGTCTCCTGGGGCATATGGAACTGTGAGTCAGTTAAACCTTTTTCCTTTATAAATTACCCAGTCTCGGGTATGTCTTTACAACAGATGACTACAAACCTCCTTAAAGATGCCCTTATTTTTGTGACATTCTTAATTATCTCTTTTGTTCTCTGAAATCCTATAATGGATTCTACCATATACCCGACCATCTAATTACATAGCACACCATAAATTTACTATTATTTTGTATCTGTTCTTCTCACTATATCAATGCCATTTCTATATCCTAATTTGGGACTCATCGTAAACACTCAACTTTTAATTAGACACACTATCTGGCCAGGCATGGTGGCTCATGCCTGTAAGCCCAGCACTTTGGGAGGCTGAAGTGGGAGGACTGTTTGAGTCTATGAGTTCAAGACCAGCCTGAGCAACATGGCAAAACCCCGTCTCTACAAAAAATATAAAAATCTGGCCGGGCATGGCGGCTCACACCTGTAATCCCAGCACTTTGGGAGGCCGAGTTGGGCAGATCACCTGAAGCCAGGAGTTCAAGACCAGCCTGGCCAAGACGGTGAAACCCTCTCTCTACTAAAAACATAAACATTAGCCAGGCCCAGTGGTACACACCTGTAATCCCAGCTACTCAGGAGGCTGAGGCATGAGAATCACTTGAACCCAGGAGGCGGAGGTTACAGGGAGCCAAGATGGCACCACTGCACTCCAGCCTGGGTGACAGAGTGAGACTCCATTTCAAAAAAAAAAAAAATGGCCTAGTGTAGTGGTGCATGCCTGTAGTCCCAGCTACTCCGCTCCGGGGTCTGAGGTGGGAGATTACTTGAGCCAGGGAAGCCGAGGCTGTAGTAGTTGAGCCAAGGTCAAACTACTGCACCCCAGCCTGGACAACAGAGCAAGACCCTGTTAAAAAAAAAAAAAAAAGACAGGGAATCTTTGCTGGAGCAATATGGTAATACAGAGGGTTTTGTGGTTTTTGTTTTGTCAACAGTGTAGGGAGAACTGGAAGTCACAGGACCTAACTGCTCTTTGTTCTTCCTCTAACATAAGTAAAATCTGCTCCATGTCTTGACACCATGTGTCAAACCGGCCTGTGCCTCAGTTTACCCCTCTGTAAAATAAAGTTAATCATACCAGACCAGTCTATAATACATAGCCAAGCCAAAGTATCTACATCCAAATTGGAGTTATTACCATGACACTAAGAAATACTCTACTTCCACAACTAATTTTATGTTTCTCACCCGGTTGTTTTAAATACAGACTACTTTTTAGGAAAGAGAACAAATCCATCACTAGTATTAAAAATAAGAAAGACCGAGAAAAATTACCTATCAAAATACTTGTCCAATCCCACTAATGGTGGGAGATATATTGGGAAAGGAAACTGTTAAAGGCCTGCTTCAAGCTGAAGTCATGTATTCATCATATTCACAATCATCCTTGAAAAGGTAAATATTACCATGCCCATTTTACAGAGCAAAGAAACCAAGGTTCAAAGACAGGCTACGTAACTAGCTCGAGTCAAGAAGCTGCAGGCAGCAGGGACAGGCTGCAAATACCCAAGTCAGTGGCATAATCTTTGTATACTTAAAAAAAAAAAAAATCACTATTATCACTTCAAGATAAAATATATGAAAAGCAAAAGTGTTATATAAATACACACATAAAAATACAATAGTAATTACTATTCATTTCCTTCAAATAGTTTCCTTGATCTTGGCTTAATTCCTAACTTTTAGTTCAAGAGGTCTTTGTTTTCTAAGCAGACTTTTTTTTGAGTAGCAACCAAATAGAATATTGGGATTAGGTAGGAACTAGTACATTAATGTACTATTTCTGAAGTCTTGAATAAATCACAGGAGCAAGTGAAAGTTTACATTAAATATTATGACTAGAACTCCTCAGATACATTTTACAAAAATCTAGTCCCTACAAAGATCACAGCAATAAACAAAGCGAACTGGGCCACTCCTCCCGTAAGTATATCAACAAAAATCATACACCTAAGGAAATATAAAAGAACTTCTCCATGTTACAAAACTGAGGTCATGATGAGTTTCGTGAAATGATAAAAGAAAGTTCCCTAAAATAAGAAACTACACCTTAGAGTGAAACAACAATTCCACAAACTTGAAAAGAAACAACTTTCTCAGAATAGGAACAATGTACTGTGTGCTAAGAAATAACCTGATCTAGGTTTACTTGATTCTGCCTTTATAAAATGTAGCCAACTTAATCTTGCAGACCTGGACAGAACAAAAGTGTAAATGCTAAAGCACAGAAAAAGGCTCGAAGTATCAAGTGCTTTAAAACACAGCTCAACTCTCCTTTATCAAAAATGTCCCTGCAGTAGGTGTTAATCAGTCACTACTAGGAACTCCACACAATGCAACCTGTGTATTGTGCAACCTGTGAGTGCATGGTATCTACAGGAAGTAGAAAATTCAGTTTATCAAGAACACCACACTTCACTCTCAAAAGTCTTGAAAACGAATCCCTGTAACAGTAACTAATTTACATTTCATTTCAAACTAAACAAGTCAGTGTAACCTCAAGGAATGTGAGGCTGTGAATAACTTCACTTGGCCAAATCAGGTGTGGTTTGGTTTGGCTTGGGTTCTTTTCCCCCTCAGAGGTAGAATATAAATAGAAATAATCAGCAACTTCTGATCTCATGAATAAGATCTTTATTTAAAATCCTCACATGTTAAATCATTTTATGTAATATTCTTTCAAGTGACAGACACATTAGCACTAGGCAAGTTTTGTGAATTTTAGGACTAAAAGACACCTAGAAGAAACATAAGGTGTTCTTTCCTTCGCCACCAAATACACAGGCAAGTAAGTGTGTCTAGAGACAGCAAAGGTGTTTTCATCCTAAAGAAAAGACTTAGGAGGCAAAAAATACAGAAAACAAAACATAGCCTAGGCGAACCAGCTACAGATCACATGCAGCAGGTGACAGGAGGCCTTGTGGACACCTCACACCCACAGGGGTGAGCTTCATTACAGGTCAACTCCAAGCCCACCTGAGCTCCTCAGAACCTCCACCCGGCAGGCCATAAACCAGAAGGTGGCAGACACCATCACTGTCACGCTGATAATAAAGGAGAAGCAGCCTCCCTGAACCCAAGAAAACCACCCCTCTCTCCAAGCAGGAAGAGAAGGCCCCTTCACTCCAACCACACAAAGAAACTGAAGCAGCCAAACTCAAAATAAAAATTAAATTTAAAAAGCAGCATGGGAAAACAGATGATAAATCTGCGCTGGGATCACTTGGAATCTCAGTCTATTTGGGGTCTCACACTCAAAAGTAAAAATAAAATTTAAAAGGAGGATGACAGAGATGAGAGCCCAATTAGGTCTGTGCTGGGTTCACTGGGGGTCTCGGTCTACTTAGAGTCTCAGACTCAAAAATAAAATTTTAAAAATGAAAGGGGAAGGTGACAGTTCAATGTGTGCGCGTGATGACCACTTGGGATCCAGTTCACTTGCTGGGAGGAGAGGGGACAGGTACCTCTGTGCCCGGCCTCCAGGTTATCCGGGAGCGCAGGCGCCCGGCGAGAATCTGGGCTAAGTTTAACTCGAGGGCGACTGCAGCAGCGCCCGAGGGCCAGGCTGCGGCTTTCCGGAAACAAAGCCCCGGGGGTCCAAGCCCAGATCCAGGGAAAGGGGTCGGACGCCCACCTATCCCCCTCCCCAGCCTCCCAGCCACCGACCCCTGCCCAGAGGGGCGCCCTCCCAGCAGGTGCCCCTACCCCGGTGCCCCGACCCCCGCGCCCGGCGCGCGCCTCACCCAGCAGCGCCCGCAGGTGCTTCAGGCGGGTCAGCACGTCCTTCTTCGGGTCCAGCACCTTCTGGGTGGACTTCTTCACATCCCCGTGGCTCCTTCGGGAGAACATCCCGCGGCAGGAAGCCCGGGCCCCGCCGGCGGGGCAGTAGGCGCCTGCGCCACGCGAATCAAAGCATAGGGTCGAGGCCGGCGCGTGTCGCGCGGGCCACTCGCCGCCCCCAGCCCGGCTGCTGCCGCCGCTGCTGCCGCCGCCGCTGCCTCAGCTGTGGCTCCAGGAAGGAGGGGCGGGCCGGTCACGGCGAGGGGCGGGGCAGCAAGGCGGTGTCGACGCGGGACCGAAGGCCCCGCCCCGCGGGAGGTGCCTCCCGGCCCCTTGGGCGCTACGCACGCGCACACAGCCCGAACTCTCCTCGCGGGACACTAGCCCATCGGCGCCAAAACTTAGAGGGGACGCGCTCAGAGCGCGGAGGAGGCGCTTCGAATCACAAAGGAGCTTCTCTCACGCACACGTTGTACTACAAATCCCGAGATGCACCGCGAGATAGTCCTCCAATCAGGCTGGCGGCCTTCGGCACGATGGGAGTCAATGGGCTGGCATTGGGCACGTCGCCCCGCCCTGCCGCGGGCCGCAATTGCTCCTGGGAAATGAAGTTCTCCAGCAGGCGACGCGCTGCGACCTCCTTTCCAGGGTCGCAGAAGGGCAGGGCGGCCCCTGCCCGCCCTCTGCCCCGGCAGCCTAGATCGTCCGTAGCGTCACTCTATCTCCTGCGCGCGCATCCCATTTTCCTCTAGTGCAACGTGAACTACACACACACACACACACACACACACACACACAAATCTCAGTGAGAAAAGTGTCAAGGCTTTTCAAATGCAAACTATTTTTAGGTTTAGCTTCTGGATTCACACCAGGGAACGAGTCGAAGCCCCTCTGACCGTGCCGAAATCGCAGCTCTAATTTCACACTAAGATGAGTGGCTTTGGCTCTAAGGAAGAGCGTGCCCCGGTGAGGAGTTCAGCCGGCCCCTTGGTTCCTGGAACCCAGCCTCACTTGGGGTATGGAGGTCGCTCGCTCAGGGAGCTCCTTGGGATCTTGCCTGTTTGTAGGAAGGGTGTGTTCTCTGTGTTGTGCAAGCCACATGGCGATCCAGTAGCAGAACCAGAAATAGACCCTGAGGGATCTGACTCAGGCCTGTATACTTTTTAAAGCCAGGCGCCTATTCCCTGGGGCAAGACTTTGAGCTGGAAGATGGTCAGGAGATTTCTTACACTGTAGGATTGTATAGTGGCATCCGGATCCTGCAAGTTTTGACATCCTTTCAGCTTTTTCAGCAAGTACTTAAGGTAGAATCACGTAGTTTCCATCCAAATTGGGACAACACAACTGTCTTTTCCTCCTCTAGCTGAACTGTAACTTAAGGGAAGAGACAAGGATTTACACACCTTTGTATCCCCATTCCTGAGCACAGTATTTGGCCTGTAGGGTCATTCAATAAAAGTTCATTAAATGAAATATAATAAAAAGCTAAAATAGTCCTACACATTTCAACCAGGCAGGCAAAAAGAAAAAAAAAAAAACTCAGTTTTAGAGCCTCTCTCTATTTTTAGACTTATGTAATATTCCCTTGTATGAACACATTCAGCAATAAAAAAGAACAGGCTACTGATAAACCCAATAGCATGGATCACTCTCAGACCCAGAGATGAAAGCCCCACATTCAAGATGATGGCAGAGTGGCCCTACCAGCCTGAGTCCCCAGATGACAACACACATCAGGACCACAAACCTCCAAAAGTGCTACAAGAGAGCAAAATAATGTCTTGTCTTAAGTCAAGGCATTTTGAGAATCTTTGTTACAGCAGTTGAGCTTGTATCTGATTATGCATAGTAAATCACAATGTTCATTGCCCAATTCCTTTAGGAGAAGATACCTTTCCTTACACTGACTGAAAAAATAGAATATGCTTGTCTTAGGAAATTCTATTTTTTTTTTTTTTATTGCTAAGCAAGCTGCCATCATCATCAAACGTTTATTCAGCACCTCCAATGTGTAAGGCATAATTCTAAACCTTGGAGATAAAAGATGTATAAGGTGCATCTTCCTGACCTCCAATGCTTCCAATCCAGTTGAGGAGGCTGAGTGATTAGATACCTGTGGGAATAAATGACAGTGTACAGTGAACATGTGATACTGTCCAGCTTGGTAATGCCAGAAACAGGCATCTGTGCATATAGATTCATCTCACCCATCATATCTAGCCTTTACCCAGTAATGAAAATGTAGAACTCCAAATCTTCTCTTAAAAAGGAAGAAACATATAGTATTATTATCTTGGTACTTTTTCATCCACATGCACATACCATATGGCTCTTCTTACTTTCTGTTGTTCTTTCTAAATTCATTCCTGCTGGGCTGTGAACCCTTTGAAGGCTTCACTTGCTTTGTACTGAATTCTTTATCCCTGGAGTTATAGAGTGCCAAGTGTTATGTAGACATTAAGTGTTGTTGAATAAATGTCCTACAGTAATCAGCAAATAAGAATAATGAGATCAAAAGTTCAAAACTTGTAATGCAAATTAAAACTGCTCTGAAATACCATTTGAATTAGAACAAACAAACAAACAAAAAACGTCCACAGAGACAAGGTGTGATAACACACTCTGGTCTGCTGGTAAAGCTACAGAAAACATAGCTGGTAGAAATGTTAGATGCTACAACTCCTGTGGAAGGAAATTTGGCAAAAATAAATATTTGCCTTTTGACCCAGAATTTCAATTTGGTTTTGTTTTTTTTTGTTTGTTTGTTTGTTTGTTTTTGAGATGAAGTCTGGCTCTGTCGCCCAGGCTGGAGTGCAGTGGCGCTATCTTGCCAGGTTCAAGCAATTCTCCTGCCTCGGTCTCCCAAGTAACTGGGATTACAGGCATGCACAAACACAACTGGCGAATTTTTTTGTATTTTTAGTGGAGACGGGGTTTTGTCATATTGGCCAGGCTGGTCTTGAACACCTGACCTCAGGTGATCTGTAGGCTTTGGCCTCCCAAGGTTTTTTTTTTTTTTTTTTTTTCCTTTTCCTTTTGACAGTCTTGCTCTGTCCCCCAGGCTGGAGTGCAGTGGTGTGATTTTAGCTCTCTGCAACTTCTGCCTCCCAGGTTCAAGTGATTCTCCTGCCTCAGCCTCCTGAGTAGCTGGGATTGCAGGCACGCGCCACCATGCCTGGCTAATTTTTGTACTTTTAGTAGAGACAGGGTTTCACCATGTTGGCCAGGCTGTTCTTGAACGCCTGACCTCAAGTGATCCACGGGCCTCAGCCTCCCAAAATGCTGGGATTACAAGTGTGAACCACCATACCCAGCCAGAATTTTGACTTCTAAGAATCTACCCTGCAGATATTATAATATATAACACTGGAAGGATTTTTTAAAAAACCCTAACATTAATGCCTACCTAAGTGGGATGGAGGAAGAGGTGGAAAGGACTCAGTATCCTCTCTGAGTATACCTTTTTATATTTTTTTCACTTTTGAGCCATATAAATGTTTTACATATTCAAAAATTGAAACAGAAAAAGACAAGCCTGAAAATAAAAAATAAACGGAAAAAATAAACTTAACAATATATGTAATTGGTAGCATAACTCTATGGAGAAATAAATATAAAACCATGCGTGGAAGTGTATTCCTTTCAGTACTATTTATAATAGCCAATGTAGTGGGCGGAACAGTGCCCACCCTTCCCCCAAAAAAGATATGTCTATGTCCTAATCCCTGAAAACTGTGACTGAGACTTTAATTGGTAAAAGGATCTTTGCAGATATAATAAGATCCTCGGTTATCTGGGTAGGCCCTAAACCCAATGACAAATGTCCTTATAAGAAACAAAAGAAGTGAAAACATAGAAACAAAGGAGAAGGCCACATGAAGACCAAGGTAGAGATTGAGGTTATGGAGCCACAAACAAAAAGACCCCTATAGCCAAGAGAAACTGAAAGAGGCAAGAAAGGATTCCCCCCGGAGTCTTCCAGAGGAAGCCCAACACCTTGATTTCAGACTTCAGGATTCCAGAACTGTGAGAAAATAAATTTCTGTTGTTTTTAAGCCACCCAATTTTTGGTAATCTGTTGCAGCCACCCTAGAAAACAAGAACTACCAGATACCAGAGAGAACCCTGTGATTGTCTAACAAGGTGCTTATATACACATACTTCTATAAGTGGCTAATTTAATCCAGTTCATCCACACAGTGTAGCACTATGGAGTACTATGCAGCTGTTTAAAAATAATGAGAACATTTCCTGTGTACTGATTTGACACAATTTTCCAGATACATTGTTAAATATAAAAGGAGCAGAATATTAAAACTATTTTTTTCAAAAAGGAAACACTGGAAGGATAAATAAAAAGCTAACATTAATTCCTACCTAAGTGGGATGGAGGATGAAGTGGAAAGGAATGAAACAGGGTCCTCTCTGAGTATACCTTTTTATATATTTTTTTCACTTTTGAACCATATACATGTTTTACATATCCAAAAATTAAAATAGAAAAAGACAAACCTGAAAATCAAAAATAAATGAAAAAATAAACTCAACCATATATGTAAATGGTAGCATAACTATATAGAGAAAATAATTATTTCAAGAGATTTTTGAAAACAGTATTCTGATTGTGCCTCCTTAGAGGGATATATTCTAAGGGCAAAAAGATCTGCAAAGAATTAATAATTACCATTAAGAACCAAGATTTTCAGAGTAAGAGAAAGGAGATACAAAAATATCACATCAAAGAAAATGTGAAAAACGCTGTAATACTAGATTTTACTTCAAATATCTATTTGAACTCACAATTTAAAAATACACACGTGTTGGCCGGGCGTGGTAGCTCACACCTGTAATCCCAGCACTTTGGGAGGCCAAGGCAGGTAGATCACGATGTCAGGAGATTGAGACTATGCTGGGCAACATGGTGAAACCCTGTCTCTACTACAAATACAAAAATTAGCTGGGTGTGGTGGTGCATGCCTGTAATCCCAGCTACTGGGGAGGCTGAGGCAGGAGAATCATTTGAACCAGGAAGTCAGAGGTTTCAGTGAACCAAGATGGCATCACTGCACTCTAGTCTGGCAATGAAGCGAGACTTCGTCTAAAAAAAAACCCCAAAAAACAAAAAACAAAAAACACATGTGTCAAGGTCATACATCAATGAAATGAATGAATAAAAAGAAGGTATACGTTCTTTTCTATACAGATATTGGCTGGATGCAGTGGCCCA